TTTCAGGCTTCTGGCCTCCAGAACTGGAAGAAAATTCATTTGCACTGTTTCAAGTCATTACGGTTTTTGTTCCATTTGTTACAGCAGCAAGAGGACCCTCACACACAGGTGAAACAAATCATCTTCACAGACTGTTGTGCAGACTAACCAAGATAACACACATAAAGTACCCAACAATGCAAAGTACATAAATAGGAAGTATTTACGGGTTTTTTCTTTTTTTTTCTTTTGCTTTTTGATGTACAAGAGGGTATGGGGGTTGGTTGCCATGGCCTGCAGGACCAGAGATCAAATCCTGCTCCCTGCAGTGGAAGTGTGGAATCCTAAATATTGGACCACCAAGGAAGTCACCAAAGAAAGCATTTAAATAGCTGCTGCTGATACTGTAATAGCACTAAAACCAAGAGTCATCAACAGAGAGGGCTTCCCTGGTGGCTCAGTGGTGAACAATCCAACTGCCAATGCAGGAGACATGGGTTTGATCCCTGAGTTGATAAGACTCCCTGGAGAAGCAAATGGCAACCCAGTCCAGTATTCTTTCCTGGGAAATCCCAAGAACAGAGAAGCCTGTGGGCTACAGTCCATGGGGTCACACAAGAGCTGGACATGACTTAGAAACTAAACAACAATAATCAACAAAGAACAGTGACTCAGTTCTAGCACTTAGTCAACTCTGTGATCAGATACCTCAGTTAGCTTCTGTAGGACTCAAGTTTTCTTACTTACGAAACAATATAAGGGCAGCTCAAATAGATGACTTCTGAAGTTTCTTCCAGCTCTAAAATTTTATGACTCTAAAACCTAATTCCTTAATGACACATTCTACTTATTGCCAATTAACTGATTCAGAAAATCCTATTAAATAAAAATAGTAAGCCAAGCAGTTTTCATTTTATGCTTCAACATTTTCAACATTTTATATTGCTGAGTTATGGCCTTATAAAGTTGAGTCATGGCCTAAAATCACAGACCTGCAAGTGATGAAAAATAACTAAGTCATCCTGCTACTATTTAAAAGGCTTACAGTCAAACTATAATATTACTAGTATCTTCTCAAATAGCTCAAAGTATATCCCTATGTATTACCTCATTTATTCTTTTTTTAACAGCTTTATTGAGATGTAACTCACCTACTCTACAATTCACCCTTTAAAAGTACACCCTTCATTGACTTGAGTATATTCACAGAGTTGTACAACCATTACCACAAGCCATTTCTGACCATTTTCATCATCCCGAAAAGAAACTCCTTACACATCACCCTGCTTCAAGCCTCCCAGCCCACTAATCTACTTTCTATCCCTATGATTGGCCTATCCTAGACATTTCGTATAAACAGAATCAAGGAATATACAATGATGTTTCAAGAGTCACCCATGTTACAGTATGTATCAGCACTTTTCCTTTTTTATTACTGAATAAAATTCCATTGCATGGATATATTTTGTTTATTCATCACTTGATGGACATCGAGGTTGTCTCTACTTTTTAACGGTTAGGAACAAATGCATCATGAACACTCACGTACAAGTGTTTGTGTGAATGTATGTTTTCATTTCTTTGAGGTATATAGGAATGGAATTGCTGGGTAACCATGGTAATTCCACTTTTTAACCTTTAAAGAACTACCATGCTGTTTCTCAAAGTGGCTGCCCCATTATACATTCCCACCAGCAATGTATGAACATTCCAACTTCTCCACATTCTTATCAACCCTTCTCATCACCTATGTTTGATTATAGTCAGGTAGTGGCTGTGGCTGCTATCTTCTGTGGTGATTTGCATATCCCAAGACTAATGATGTTGAACATCTTTTATGTGCTTTCTAGCCATTTGTAAGTCTTCTTTGGAGAAATGTCTATTCAGCTTTGCCAATTTTTAAATTGGGTTATCTGTCCTTTTTATTACTGAGTTATAAGCATTCTGTATAAATTCTGAGTACAAGTAGATTATCAGATACATAATTTTTCTTTATCTCATCTTAGTGCAGCTACTTGCACTAAATAAACAGATGCTGTGTTGCTATTCCCACTATACAGATAGAAGTGGCATGTCATGGGATTAAACGGACTTGAGAACTATCAGACTCAAGAGCTCCTGTTTTTATTAACTTAAGGAGGCCATACACTGATAACAACACTGGGGCAGAACATCCAAGGAGTCTCTCCCAGTTCAACCCTGATGCTGTCTTGTATGGATAATCAGACAATATGATCTCCAAGTTATATCAAAGGTACAGTGTTATGAAGTGTTATGTAGCAGGCACAATAACTGACTCCTAGCTCAGGATGCATTCGTAAACATGAGACCAAATCTTTGTCCTCGTTAGCCTGATAATTTGGCAGGACGATGAAAAATCCCTCCCCAAAATCAATTTCTTAACAGCAAATGATCCAAAGAAAGAAAACTTTTCATCTTAACGCTTAAAGATCCACCCTCAACTCAGAAGAAACATGACAGATTTTAAAGTAGGTGATATTCTGGTTTTTAAAATAATCCAAAGAGCCAAACTATTTTGTGGCCTCAGATGACCTTGTTTTGAGTACTGGCCTTAATAAGGCCATCACTTTCAAATCCTTTTTATAATGCTGCAATGCTTACTTTTATGATATTGGTCAAAATGAAACTTGACTAGAGGAGGAAAATACTCATACTTTTTTAACCTTCAATCAGAAAAACCTGAAAGTTCCAAGACTCTATCTTGACCAGTTCCTACTCCATACCAAACGAAAATGTTATGATAGCTCCATTAAAAATAAAAACAAAAATCCACCACCAAACAAAGGGAGTTCTAGCCTTGCCTACCAAAGTATTCCCAATGCAGAGCAGATGGGTCAAAAAATCCTCACAAGACTGAAAGTCCAGCCCCTAAGTAGCCCAGGCAAACTTTAAATTTCTCAAACTGGTGTTTATTTCTCCTAAAGAGTTCCCACTAATGGAATATTCTATACCATAATATGTCTGTGATCTTTTATTATAAAAAGGCACTTACCATTCTATTAATTAGGGTCAATATAAGGATTTGGTGAGAAGGCAAGACAGAATTCATGGCTTATTATTAGAACTCCATCCATCTTTACTGTGCAAATTTAGTAAATCAAGTAACAGCCAGCAAGTAAAACTAACACTGGGAAGACACCCATGCCCGCTTGATAGTTCTGAGTGCCCTCAGCACGCCACTTTGTAACTGGAGGTCCCCACGCTCCCTCTGGCTGGAGGTGCCTGAGGATTAAGAAGGCACAGCTGAGCCGGGAGCATGACCCCAGGTGACCCCAGGGAGGGCCTGTGCAAGAGGCAGCACCACGGTTCAAGGCAGGGCTTTTCCACACTGTGAAGGGGAGGCCAGGCATTTTTTGGAGGCATCTCAGAATTGCTCTAGGTGTCAGAGAAGAGCTGTGAGCGGGCCGGGCACTGCACTTCACCTGTCTTACACGCTAGGCCTCCTCGGACGTCTTCTGAAGCCTGAAATCAGACTGCAAGGAAAACGTGTGACCACCTAAGTCTAGAGGAAGTCTTGGCCAAGCAGACAACAATGTGCATCAGATCTGAAAGACGAGGTGAGGACAAAAGGGGAGAATGAATAATGAAGCTGCCGGGGAGCAGTCAAAAACAGGAAAGGGTGCGGAATAAGCCAGGGTCAGGGTCAGGGTCAGGCCTTTCTCCACTGAAAAGAATGCCTATTGTGGAGCAGGCGCGTCTGCTTAAAGGAGCAGTCTGGGATCCTTCACCTGGAAGCACACAGCTACTCAAACCTTCAACTCCACATGCTGCCTGCGGGGTCCAGGCTCTCCTCCTTCTGGCTCCCCAGATTCCTTGCCTACCGCTGCCAATCAATTCCTCGAAAAGCAGCCAACATGAACCCTCAGAAAGCAGACGGTCCCTCCTCTGATTGGTGGTGTCCTTCTTCCCAGGACACCTGAATCAAATCCTAAATCCACACCGAAGCCTGGCCGCCACACCTCTCTGGTCACTTCTCTGCGCTCCACTCGTGCTCCCCAACTCTGGCCGGGGCTCTGCCAGTGCTGTGTCCTCAAGTCTGCTCAGAGGTCACCTCTTCCTAGTCACACTGTCACCTCCTGACCTTTGACCCATCTTCATTTTTCTCTTTAACATTGTCTTACTATCCAAAATTCTCTACCTCCCTGCTAGGAGGAAGCTCTGCTGCTGCTGCTGCTGCTACTGCTACGTCACTTCAGTCGTATCCGACTCTGTGCGACCCCATAGACAGCAGCCCACCAGGCATTGCCGTCCCTGGGATTCTCCAGGCAAGAACACTGGAGTGGGTTGCCATTTCCTTTTCCAGGAGGAAGCTCTACCAGGGCACAGACTTTGTTTTGATCTCTGTTTTGATCTCAGGAGCCAGACCACCGAGAACAGCGTTTGGAAGAAAAATGTTCAATATTTATGAAGGAATGAAGAAGTCATAGTTGATCTGAAGTATGTTTAGGGCTCCAGTTTTTCCCCACACCTCTCTCTGATTTCACTTCTGACCCACCAACCATGCCCCAAGCTTTACCTCTGTTCATTGTCATCTTGGATCCGATCACCCCATGTTACAGCCACTCCTTTGCCTAAACTCTGAACTTTCTTGCTGGCCCGTCCTTCCCCTAAACGAATCAAAGGATCTACTTCTTTACTCCCACACCCCAGCCATCCAGAAATCAGTCTGATGAAAAGCCCCAGCCGTGCTGACTGGGGGCTCCGCAAACACACGGTCCCCTATCAGGAGCCCATTCATTTTTTCGGAGTTCCCAATCCAGTCCCCCATCCGTAGCCCATCCATTTCTTAAGGCTCCCAATCCAGGCCCTTGCTCTCCGCCCACAGAAACAATTTCATCCATTTCTTCATACTTCCTACTCTCCGGTCCACTCAGTAAATGACATCACCTCCACAGGAACAAAAGAGAGGTCATTAGGTCAGACTCCCTCAGCTTCCTCCATCCCCCTGAACAACGGCCACACACCCGCTCTTACCTCCTTCCTGGCAGCGTGGAGGAAGGATGTACCTCTTCCTGTCCAAAGGTAACCTTGAACCAGAGCTCTAAAACACACCATCTAGCCCCTCTCCTTAGGGATCTCCCCATCCCTGATCCAGCTCCCCTCGCTCATCTTCACCTTCCCTTCTCATCAGGCTTTTTCCTCCACAGCACACACACACTCAAATCTCTCCCATCAGAAAACAAATGAACAGGGGCTTCCCTAGTGGTCCAGTGGTTAAGAATCTGCCTCCCAATGCTGGGGACTCAGGTTTGATCCATGGTCAGGGAACCAAGATCCCACATGCCATGGGGAAATTAAGTCCACACACTGAAACAAGGATCCCACTTGCTACAATTAGGACCCAATGCATCAAATAAATTAATTTATTTTTTAAAAAGAGAAAGAAAACAAATGAACAAAGAAAACTAATATTCTTCCCCAGTCATCTGCCTCTCTCCTGCACAGTCCTATTTGCCCCTTTCTCTTCAGAGCCAAGTGTCTAGTAATACAGCTTCAACTCGTTATTTTCACAACTCCCTTTGACTACTCGATCCTTTGAGATCTGGATTTTGCCTGCAAACATAAACTTGTTCTCCCCAAAATCCCGGTGACTTCTGAGCTACAAAGTCATTTCGAATTTTTTTATGCATTTTATGCATTGCTAAGTTGCAAATGTTTCTCTTCCCTCTAAATATTTCAGCACTCATGTAACTCCTAACTCAAGCTGAGTATTACATTTTTTCTTCCTCTTTTGAAGATGCAATGAAATGCACCAATCTTTAGTGTACTAGTTAATAAATTCTGACAAGGACATACACCTGTGTAACTTGAAACTTTTTCGAGAAGCAGGACCCTATCCCTCCCCCAGAAGAGGCCAGCAGCCCATCACAGCTCCACACCACTCACCACCCCTCCATCACTCTCTGGGTATTGTTTTGACCACAGCCCAGCATGGTGGGTCCTGGTGAGAGCTCTCTCCCTGGGTTCCAAAGAGCCTCCCTCCCATCCTGCTGTCACGCGGCAGAGAGAGCTCTGGGGTCTCTTCCACTTCTTGTGAGGGCACCAGTTCTATAGGATCAGAATCCATGCTGAAGACCTCATCTAGCCCTAACTGCCCCCTTAAAAGCCCGATCTCCAATCCAGTCAGTCTCATGGGGGCTTAAGGCCTTCCACATGACTTGGAGGGGAGACACAATTCAGTCCACAGTAGCCCACAGTAATTACTTTAAAGCACAGTAAAACTGAACACCACAATCACTGGGCAAGTACAAGAACTCTAAAGCAACAGAGGCAACAAGTATTACATGAAAATATCAAGATACAGAATTGTATATAATGTAAAACATATGCACAGGAAATAAAAAGGAATATATCATAACCATCAGAGGACAATGTTCAAGTAAAGAGCTTATTTCTAAACTCTATGCTAAACAATTTGAAAAATAAATTTTCATAGAAAGAATACATTAATGAAAAGCTTCAACTGAAAAAAAAAGTCACTAAGAACAATTTCAAATCTAATTTTCCCTGTTTGTTTCCTGTTTATCTCGCTGCCATCTGTATTAACTAAGCTATAAGTTAATCTGCTATGACAAAACCAAGAATACAGTGGCTCAGATGAAAGAGAAGTTTCCCATGTAACAGTTCAGGACAGATCAGTGGTCCCAGAAAGGTCCAGACACTGAGGTTCCTTTTATCTAGTCCCCCAACTTCCTGGGAACACTGCCTCGGTCTCTGTGACAGAAGCTGACTCACAACACCTTGCTCATGGAGGTGGGGAAAAGAATATGACTAAAGCAGATTGGAATACAAGTATGATTTAGAAGTCACACATGTTACTTCCACTACCATCCACTGGCCAAAATTCAGACATGTGGTCTCATGTGCCCACAAGAGGCCTAAGAAACACGATTTCTACATAGGGACTACAGGCCAGGCTAAAAGTCAGGAGGTGGGAAAGTACCTTCTTCCCCTCCAGGCAGTCATCTTCCTAAAGGGATAAACTGGATTCAGCTCAGTCTACAATCTCTGAGCAACACATAATCTCTTCAACAGATATCAAAGTGGCTCCAGCCCAACCCAGTGATCCACAAACTAAAATTCATTTCAATGTATGACAAAAACCACTGCAATGATGTAAAGTAATTAGCCTCCAACTAATAAAAATATATGGGAAAAAAAATAAATAAATAAAGGATACCCTAAAAAAAAAAAAAAAGACCAGGTATCCTTCGCTCTCCACTACCACCATCACACCCAATACACAATGGACCAAAAATACGATGAATGCAGTTAAGTCTCCCATCCTGAAAAGAAAAGAATGGCAAAGACATATCCCTACCAATGATGAGATACAGCTAGACAGGAAAGACAAAGACTCCCCACTCCACCAGGGAAACCAGGCCCTCAATTAAACTCAGTCCTGTTCTCTGGGAAGAAGGGAGGATCTCTCTTGTCAGTGTGTCTGACAGACCCTGGCTTTGCCTCTGGAAGATTCTTTCTTTTTTTCCACGACCCTTTCTCAGTTCAGTTCAGTTGCTCAGTCATGTCCAACTCTTTGCAACCCCATGGACTGCAGCACGCCGGGCTTCCCTGTCTATCACCAACTCCCGGAGCTTGCTCAAACTCATGTTCATTGAATCAGTGATGCCATCCAACCATCTCATTCTCTGCGGTTCCCTTCTCCTCCCGCCTTCGATCCTTCCCAGCATCAGGGTCTTTTCAAATGAGTCAGTTCTTCGCATCAGGTGGCCAAAATATTGGTTTCAGCTTCAGCATCAGCCCTTCCAATGAACACTTACGACTCATTTCCTTTAGGATGGACTGGTTGGTTCTCCTTGCAGTCCAAAGGACTCTCAAGAGTCTTCTCCAACCCCACAGTTCAAAAGTATCAATTCTTCAGCACTCAGCTTTCTTTGTAGTCCAACTCTCACAACCATACATAACTACTTATAGTATGATTATAGTTATAGTATAGTTATAGTTATATAGTATAGTTATAGTATAACTATAGTTACACTTATAGTCATAACCATAGCTTTGACTAGACGGACCTTTGTTGGCAAAGTAATGTCTTTTGCTTTTTAATATGCTGTCTAGGTTGGTCGTAACTTTTCTTCCAACGAGCAAGTGTCTTTTAATTTCATGGCTGCGGTTACCACCTGCAGTGATTTTGGAGCCCCCCAAAATAAAGTTTGTCACTGTTTCCATTGTTTCCCCATCCTTTCTAGCCATATATGAAATAGGTATAGGAAAGCAAGTGCTCCAAAAACGTGGCAAAGACCTGGTGGCCAATTTGAAGGTCAACGGTTGCTTGAGGTGTCAATGTCAAACCACCACAGGTTTTTCTAAGTCAAACTTGTGGCATCATTGACAATGCCACAATACAATCCTCTCAAAAATGCAACAGGCCTGTTTGCCTTCAGTCAGCACCACATGAAAGCAGCCACATTTCTCTGGTCGTAGATACAAAGCTTGTCATTTCTCCTCCTTCCTTCGCTGGCTTCTGTGGCAGGTCCATCCTTCTATCCCTCAAGTTAAGGTGAGCTACCTGGAGGTCATGTGACTCAAGACAGGAAGATTCTACCACCATACCCCAATGACATCAGGATAGGCCATGTGACTTCAGACCATTCTTCTTGCCTGACTGATTTCAAGCATCAACCATTTTGTTTGCTTTGGCCAATAAAGTATGAAGAAAAATAACACATACCATGTCCCAGCACCTGATTCTGCCACATGCTGTCCCTTCAGCCACAAAACAGCAACATCTCCAAAAAGCCTATTCCTTTGGCTTTATGTAACACAGGATGTGGAACACAGCCACAGCATGTCATGAGTAAGAAATGAACCTTTGTCATTGTAGGGAACTAAGACTTTGTATTTTAAAGTGTTCCTTTACCTGGCCATGGGGAAATTTTGATGGAATTTAACAAGTAATAACAACAAGTGCCTCAAAATTAAGGACCTCAAAATTCAACAAAGGACATTCTAGACAAAACTAACAAACAGGCAAAAACTGGGATTATGTGTTCACAACATCTAAAAAAAGGGGTGGGGGGGATTTAATAGCCTACCTACACCAAAAACTCTTGAAAAATACAATAAAAAGACAGGACATGCAACTGAATATTGGGTAAGAGACAAGGAGACAATTCACGGATAAACAAATTAAAGTGGTCAGATAAAATACAGGATGCCCCATTAAGTTTGAATTAAAGATATATAATGAAAAAAATTCAGTATAAATATGTCCTGACAATTACATAGTATATACTTACACTAAAAAACTGTTATTTGAAATTCAAATTTAATAGAGTATCCTGTATTTTTATTTGCTAAATCTGGCAACTGGAGGTGAAATCCATGTGGCTAGCAAGTGAATGAAGAGAACGTGAGCCTCACTAGTAATCAAAAAAGGCAAATTAAACTCATGACAAACCATTTTATAACCATTATGTTAGCAAAATCCAGAAAACAAAGCTTTTACTGAAGAGCACATAAACCTGTTTCTTTTCCCCATTTTACTAGAAAAGATCACCTAGCCTAAGATTCTTTTTTTGACCATACCATTAGGCAATAAAAGCCCAACTATTCACTGCATGTGCACAGAGAAAAACCACATTTCAAAGTCACTATTTCATACTATAGACACTATAGGAATAATCCCCATAACCATGGTCAGGCAGGCTGCCCAGGTGGCTCAATGGTAAAAAAAAAAAAAATCTGCCTGCCAAGCAGGAGTGAAAGTGAAGTGAAAGTCGCTCAGTGGTGTCTGACTCTTTGCAACCCCATGGACTGTATGTAGTCCATGGTATTCTCCAAGCCAGAATACTGGAGTGGGTAGCCTTTCCCTTCTCCAGGGGATCTTCCCAACTCAGGGATCGAACCCAGGTCTCCTGCATTGCAGGAGGATTCTTTACCAGCTAAGCCACAAGGGAAGCCCAAGAATACTGGAGTGGGTAGCCTATCCCTTCTTCAGCACATCTTTCAGACTCAGGAATTGAACCGGGGTCTCCTGCATTGCAGGCAGATGCTTTATT